GCAGACCTCCTCCTATCCCAGTTGGAGTATTTTTATCTGAGACAATGATGTGCCAAGGGCTATTGTGCCAATATTGTTTTCTTGTTTCCAGAAGTAGCCAGAAGTACTGGTGTTTCTAGGAGCTGGGGTGAAGTTCAGGGAAGACAGGAGTTTTGAACACGGCTACTGGTGTTATCTTGTAAATGTCCTCGCTAAGATCCAGGTAAATGAGAGATCCAGGTAAATGAGAGAGGGGAGACCTTAAATCAAACAAGAGGCCATCAGTCTAACAGTGGATGATGTAATAAATGACACGAATGGCACTAGATGCTGCTGCTATGGACAGAGGTGTGATATTAAAAAGCAATAATCGCACAATAAACAAACAAACAAACCCTTTGAAGTGGCCATTGGATGTCCAGCCACTGCAAGAATGAGGACATAGTCCCTTTCCAAAGTTTTCTGCAATTAGATTAAGGGGACTAGTATTGATGTGATATTTCAAAAAAATAGGAACAAAAGGTTAGAGAACTTACAGACTAACATGGCTGCTACTCTGAAACATGAATCCTTAGTTACATTTTGTGAATTCTAGAGTTCGAGGTGGAAATTTAGCAATCCCTAACTGGAGAGACAGCTTCCAGCAAACCCGAGTGTCGTTAGGAGTTGAGTATTTCTAAAATTAGTGTTAAAGGAAAACTGCTGTGATTCTTTATAACATCTCAGACCGTCCATTAAACAAATACTAAATAAGATGGGATACATAAAAAAGGAACATCCACCGTACTGTCTCCAGAATGATCAACAGTGTCCCATTGGAAGTTGCCATTTAAAATTAGGCCTCGTCTGACGATGTAGGTTAGGGCACAGAAACTGCAGATCAGCAATGCATGGCAAAAAGGAAACATTCAAAGTTGTTGGAAGGAAACTTCTAACCTATTTTAGGTAATTTATTTGGGACACTTTGAAATAAACCAAAAAATACTGTAAAAATGGGACTTAGAGCAGCTTTGAAAGTTCCTACTTTCCCCTGCATTCAAATGGGAGCTGCATTTCCTGACCCTCACTCGGGGCCCCCTAGACTGTCATGATGGCATCTTTCTGTCTGATTTTTAATTATTCTTTCATTTTAAATGATGCTATAAGTCTCTTCTCAGACTACTTATCCCTAGCTGCAGCAGAGCTACTAAGATCCCAGGAGTCATAGAACCCGAGGCATTCCTAACACAGGTAATTGTTACAAAATAAATTTTTAAAAAATTAAAACCAGGCCTCATCAGCCATTCAGAAGCCAGCAATCTGGCCTGAGGCAAGCAAGTGGAGTGGTGAAATGATGCTCTGTCAGTTCACAGTTGGAGATCTGAGTGAGTCTCAGCTTAACCCCAATGGATGTTCGGTCACATTACAAATTCACAGCCCAGTCTGTCTTGTTGGCTGCCTATGCTTACAAGCAGGACCGGGTTACTGTTCTTCCATCCCCCCCACCTAGGAGGGGCTTTCCTCATTTAGTTCGCTACTGTCCAGAAACAGCAATGAGTGATTTTTTATATAAACGGAGCAGGAAGATCTTTAGGGGGTTGGCCCCTTTAAGACGGAGAGAAGACTTATCTGGAAGCATAAAAGTTCTCTGCTGGTTGGGCAGAACAAAGCAGCTAATGCTGAGGTCTAGTGCCACTGACTTACCCTAGGCAGAATCGACTGGCTCTCCTGCTGCCAATCTCCATTGAAAGTAGAAGGAAGGAAGCCAGACTAGAGATTTGGAACGGGGATGTTTCACCTACTGAGGCAGTGCAGAGCATGGGCTGTGCACTAACCCTAGAGAGGGGTGGGGATGATGACAGAGCGAGAGAGGGGGGCTGGCTGCATATTTGGCTCTACTGAGCAGGCTGCTTGTTGTGCAGTTGTAGCTCAAGCCCAGAGCAGCTGCCAGCCTGAGAAAAGCTGTGCAAGGAGGAAAAGAGAGAGAGGCTCTGCTCTCACATCCTGGACTGTGCGTGCTGGAAGAGGGACTCAGGGGCTGCAAGGGGAGCGGGGGGAGCTGAGCGGGAGGGGCGTGGACACTGGGACCTGCACCCCATGCCTTGTTTGCTGCTTTCCCTGAGGTCTCCGCACTGGCAGCAGAAGGATTTACCTTGCTTGTTACAGGCATTAGTCCCCATTGCAGCCCCTGCTGAAGCGCCCCCCAGGTGCCTGGCTCTCTCTCTCAGTGACTGGGGGAGGCTGGTCCCCCCCCCCCGAGCTCCCAGGGAAGGGGGGGGGCAACTTGTGCCCGGCTCTGTAGAAGCTGTTCCCCTTGGCTGCAGCAGGAGGGGGCAGGGCAGCAGGGACCCCCGGAGGGAGCCGAGCTGTGCGGCTCTCCTGCCTGCCCCCTGAGCCATGCAGAGGGGCCAGTGAGGGCTCAGCCTGCCAGGAAGATGCTGCCGCCGCTGCTCGCCGGGACGGAGGGAGCCTGAACTGCGGCTAGAGGACGGGGCCAGCAGCCGCCCTGGCTCAATGAGCTGCGGGGAGTTCCTGCCGCTGCGCCCGGAGCGGCTCCGCACTTCATCCCCAGGTAGGTGGATGGGGGCGAACCCGGCCGCTCAGGCTCCTGCAGGGGCGGGCTGGGCACGGATGTGCGACCCCCTCCTTCCCGGGCAGCTGAGAAGAGCTCACCGGCTGCTCCTCCCAGGAGAGCCAGCAACGGTGGGTGGGGGCGATGCATGGGGGCCAGGACTGAGCCCCCATTTTGGGGGGGGGACCGTACGGTGGGGGCAAGGGCTGATCCCCATTTTTGCAGGAGGGAAACTGCACTGGAATATGGGATTTGCTTTGCTGGCTCAGACCGGGGTGTCCACCCAGCCAATGGCCTGTCACAGGCCATGGCCAGGTATTTCAGAGGAAGAAATCCCTTAGCAAAGGGATGGGGAGGCGATTCCCATTGAGGCGAGAGGAATGGGGATGATACCAATTTAAGAGGGTGGCATCAGCGTATGGTGGATGATTCCCACTCAGGGCAGTGAGGCGGCTCAGTGCTGGGTGCTTAGGGGGCTTTACTTATCACCCTTAATAACGCTAGCAACTGTACCAAAAATGCTAGAAAGTTCCAGCCTTGTGCTGAGCTGGGAGGCTGCATTGAGGACACACAGGGCAGAAGGCTTCAGACTCCCATGGAGCTGATCTTTCCTTGTGCAAAAATACTGGGCACTTGAGCTGTGCCGTTTCTTCCCAAGACGAAAGGCATGGGGCGGCAGGGTAAGAAGATTTCCTATTCCCCAGCCATACCAAGCACAGGGCAGGGCTCCATGGGAATGCCCCGTTGGCTACTTCCTTCTTCCTACCTGCCCCAGAGGTGATGGGGTGTCTGCTACTTTCCTACTCTCCTGCCCTTGCAACCCTTTCCTTAGCGTTACCTGCCACAACTTTCCAGGGAAATGAAAAATCACCTGGTGTGCCTAGGCGGAGTCATTTCTCCAGCCATTCCTATTTTTCAGACCTTTGTTCTCTCTGCACAGACCAGAGTGGCCCTTCTCCTGCCAGATTTGGATTTCCTCTATTCACAGATCCACAATGGCGCCAGTCCTGGGATATGAACCCTTAGGAGCTCCCTCTGGGGCAAAAGGAGAAGCAATTACAAGTCGGTTTAGCAACCTCCTGATCAAAACCTGGTGGTAGAAATGAGCCTCGGTGAAAACTTCCTTTTCTTTATAAATGATCACCATTGCTTGGAATAATTTCCCTAATGCCACAAGGAGGCCAGACTCCCTGTCCCTTTGTGCAGCCTGGTCTGGTTTGCTTGGGTATTTGTAGCTCTTAGAAGGACTTTAGAGGCTGGAAACAATCAGTTGCTTATATAACTGGATGCTGGAGCATCCTTTAGTCCCAAGCTGGTCTGAACTACCTGAAACAGGTGAGGGGCAAGGGGGTTGAGTTCTCACCAATACCCAGCCTAGTGTAAACTGAGGGACTTTTAATAATGGAGATTCCATACAGGAATGCTGAATAGTTAAGGGGTTGGGCTTTTGAAGGAACCAGATATTTAATGAAAAGGGGAAGCAGGGGGAGGAGGGATGGCTCAGTGGAGATCCAGGTTCTAGTCCCTGCTATGCCCTGAACTACTTGTGTGAGCTTGGGCAAGTCACTTAGGTTCTCTATGCCTCAGTTTCCCATCTGTCAAATGGGGATAATAATGCTTTCTTACTTCATGGGGGGGCGGGGTCCCAGAGAGGAGATGAGAACTGCTGGGATAAAAGCACCACCCATTGAAATATAATGAAATGATGCCCCTATGAACAAGTTGGTCATGGGACAGACAGATAGAAAGAGGGAGTTGCTGTAAGGCGGTTATAATAAGCTTTCAAATAGCCAGAGAAGCTCCTGGTGTGAATTGACAGAATGGGCTGGAAGACAGTTCAGAGGAAGATGGAAGCCAGGAGAAGCTGTACTAGGCATAGCCAGACAGTTACAGACTGAAAGGTAGATGCTGTGCAGAGGGATAACTAGATACAGGTTGATTGTTGTGATAGGAAAACATTTGGGTTGGCTGGGGCTGGAGTTTGTTGCCAACAATTAATTAGCTCAAAATGCCTGTGCCAGCAAAAATAAGGCTCTAAAATAAAATAAATAAACACACAAACAAATCACAATCAGAAATCACCATGGAGGATTTCAATGGGGGGTGAGGGGAGAGGGCACATTGTCCTACTGCACATTCTGATGGTGCCTTTCATCCTAAAGGATCCCACAGCCACCTCTGGGGTGGAGGAGGCAGCTTGGTGGATGAACAACACACCATGTAAGAGTAAGAAAGGTTTAGAGCAGGGACGCCCTACCCTTAGGAAAGGTACCATGGGATCTTTCATGCAGAACAGACAGGGCCTCAGCTTTTAAGGTCCCATTTGAAGTGCTCACCTTAGCTCATCAGGAAAATGAAGGGTGCGTTGACCCTGCTGGGATTTGTAGAGAAGCTGTATTCCTACAGGACTAAAGAAGCGGCAAGACTATTCCATGACTGGACCCCTCCCCACTTCCATCTTGACTGGCTTTGCTGTGCCTAGGTGCCGGGACAGATACTGCACATGCCTGGGTCCACTGCAGTACCTAGAGGTGGGTGTCTGCCCTTAGTAAGGGGTGGGTAGGAAATGGCTCCTTCCTGTTATTTTAAGACCAGCTTTCCCAGTTTGATCCCCCTTTGCTCCTGGGGAGCAGTGTGTGGCACAGCTTGTAGAGGGAGATACTAACAGCTCCATCAGAGGCGTCCCAGGTGGCCGCATCTCACCCCAATGGCCCTACAGATTTCCAGAGACTCAAATCTGACTAAGTCACTGTAGTTGAGCCAAATGCTCGGCATTAAACCCCATCAAGACCCTGTCTCCCTTGCCTGAATGGCCTCAACAGTTTGTTTTAAGAAACAAAGTCATTCCTCAATCACGGGGTGTCAAGAAGCAGTAGAGCCAGAGCCTGCTGGTCTCTACTGGGCTTTGTTTTGCAATCCTGCAACTTCATTGCTGTGGCTGAGCTGTGGGCTCCTGCAGAAACAGCCGTGCGAAGTGAGAGTCTGGCTGGCCTGTTAACCGGCCAGTGCCGCGAAGAGGCACTGCTGGTCTCTCCATGTCTCTGCTTCCCTCTCTGCAAAATAGGGATAGTAACAATTCACCCTGCCCGGAGAGCATGTTGGGCTCCAGGGATGGAAGGTGCTATGATGAGACAGTGCTACTGAATTATTCTTAGTTACCGGGTCAGGGGTAGGGCAGCTGGGCTAAGATTGTGTAAAAGGTAAAGGGAACTGCAGCAAGTGCATAATAGTTGGTATGGGTGGGTGTGGCACCTGTGCACAAGTGTGGCTAGGTCTGTTTTTTTGGGTGTGTGCCCCCAGAGAAGCCTACTTCAGTAATGACTCCCAACTGCTGCAGTAACGCCAGTGTCAGTGGAAGGGGTTTGGCTCGAGGCTGTAGACTCGTGGAGTGGATTTGATATGGTTGTGCATGTGCACTGCCCTGTGTATCTGTGTAAGTGTGTGTACGTAACTGCCTGCCAGGGGGGTGTCGGCACTGCAGTCCATCTGCTGCTGTCCCTTTCGTTCTTAGACTACAGGACCCTAAATCTCCCTGAGCATTTGATATTCACAATCATGTTCTAAGCTGGTCCCAAAGTCCTGAGTCACTGTATGGTTTCCATGGAAACAGACTTGTTCATTGTAATCAGTTTTGGGGGTAGACACAATGTTTGGTGGCAGCATTGCACACCTGCAGAGAGGGGTCAGCCCCCATCCAGACCCACTGTGGTGGGAGAGGTGCAGGGCTCTACTGGATAGGAGTGAAGGGCTCCTGCTTCACTCCTTCCCTCAGCCACAGCAACAGGCTGTCAGCAAGGTGGCTGGCTTTTACTTTGGCTCTCAGTAGGGCTGCGCATGGTGTGATGCGGCACCTCCACTGCCTTCAGGTGCCTCTGGCTTCCAACCCTTTGCCCTAACGGCACGGTCCCTCTCCGCCCTGCTGGCTGTCTGAATCTTCTCCTTCCCCCTCATCTCCTCTCCCCGCTAGCCCTATTTTCACCAGTGAGCCGGGCCTCAATACAGCCCTTCATTTCACAGAGATTGCATAGATGGGAAGGCAGGAGCTGCTGAAAGAGGCTGGGGCACCCAAAGCCGGCTAGCAAAGCCAAGAGCATGAAATAGTGAGGGAGAGAGAGGTGAGCAGCCTCAGCGACACACCAAAAGAGGAGTGAGCAACCACAAAACATAACCCTCGGGAGCATCAGTAAGCTCCCTAACAGCAATGATAATACATAATTATTATTATTAACACCTTCCATTTTAAAGCATATGCCCCTCCAGAGGAATCCAAAAGTACTTTACAGGCCATAGGAATTACTTCACTTGCACTGGGTGCAGCCACCTGTTGGGAGGAGCAACAAGTAAGGCAGCTGCACAGCAATACTACACAACCTTTTGGGGCAGGGGGAAAAAGATTCCTGTGTTCAGTCAAAGCTCCAGAGGGAATTTAAGGCAGCAGAATGGACTAACCTGCATTGGGATTGGATCAGATGGTGGATGGGAGACACACCCCAGCTTCAAAGAAGTGACATGAGCTCTTGAATGACCACAAGAGCTTTGACAGCACCTCCAGCTGCACAGCACCTCTTAGCACCAGGCTGGAACGTTGGGTCCAGCAGATTCAGGGAGCGGAATATCCCCTGCACCAATCACTGCAGCAGCTTGCGTTTTCTACTGACCAGATGCAACCTGCTTAGTTTGTGAGATCAGCCATGATCAGAGCATACAGCTGTGCACTCCCATTATGGAGCAATAAAAGCAAGTCAGTAGCATCAAACTTGTTAAGAGAATCCCTCGCTCAGGGACTCCGTCCCAGGGGCTTTGCGGTGTCCAGCCACACTTGTTGCTCTGTTTGAGGGTAATTCACTTATACCATTCAGGTTAATTCACTGCGCTGATCTCTAATGCTCCTGGATTGTCAGGCTGGCTTTCTGCCTGCACTGTCAGCAGGGTAGCTGTGCCAGCCAGGAGAGGTGGATGCAGATGTTTGCACCCACCTCTGCCTCCTTTCATGGGTGTTTCACTGCCTTTAACCCTCTTCCTATGAGGCAGTGGGAATCTGGGGTGGGGAGGGGAGACTGGAGCAGCCCCTCTGGAATTTTGTTTTTAAAATTGACATTCTCCATATCCCAGTGCCAAGAATGGCTAGGAGCATCCTGCTACAATTGGCACCATTCCATTGGTCATTGCATGGCATCCTGGGGACAGCATGGGCCTGAAGTGATCACAGACAGTGTTCAGAGGTCAAGGGGAAGGAATGCCAACCCCAAAGGTTCAAAAATCAGGATTCAGGCCCAGAAAATAATGAGATTGCCCCCAAAATGATGATTTAAAAAAGTGTATTGTTTTTGGCCTGTCATTTGATTTTTGAATTCACAATTAGCAATGCCCACTATCCCAAATTTACTGGACAAGGTGATTTCTGGCCCCCTGTGCAGGCACTCTCACCCCCACATCTGCCTGTCCTCTGCCCAACAATTTATTCTGTCTACCCAGCCTCTGAATCAATCCTGTCCCCTCAGTCCCTGCATCAGTTCTGCCCAGATGTCAGTTCTGATTGTCTGCCCAACCCCCAGCTCAAGTCTGCAACCCCAGCCTCACCTCTACTCCTCCTGCAGCTTGTGGGGTTCTTCATTCTCTCTCCCCAGGCATGACGGGGGTGGGCTGCAGCTAGGTCTTTCTCCCACTTCCAGGCTGGGTATGGCACTGAGGCAGAGGAGCGGGGAGCAGAGCCTCCCTGAGCTGTTGGGATCTTTCTTCTCCCTCCTCCTCTCCGGTGAGACGGGTGTGGGCTCTTGAGGGGTGGGGAGGAAGCAGTGAGCTCTGCCTGCTTCCTGCAGCTGCGCTGATAGGATGCTCTTCCCCAGGAGGTGGGTCAGTGGGGCAGGGGACCAATCAGAAGGGGTTTCCCACAGGCAGGGGTGAAATTCCCATGTGGGCTGGAGCTTCCCTCCTCACCACAAGATGGGATCCAGCCGTTGCAAAAATCCTCTCACTTGCAAAAAAATCACAAGAGTTGGCAACACTGAATTAGCCTAGAGCCCTTCCTGGTAGTAGTGGCAGGCACTGGCAGATGAGGGTCATGAACAAAGGACAAGGAAGGGCAGAGTTCAGGTCCCCATGCTGGGCGCTCCCAGCACATGAAAGGTCACTCCTCCCTGCTTGTAGCTGGTGTATTGAGGCAATGCAGCCCATGCATAGCACTGTCAGGTATAAAAACAACTCACATATAAAGAGGACAATGGGAGCATACAGGCTCAGGTGGTGGGGACAGCTCTCTGTACTCCCCCACCCCATTATCTCCTTCCCCAGCTGGGTAGAGATAGAGCCTTGAGCTCCACCCACCTAGGGAAAACCCTGGGTCTATAGCTCCAGCACCGAACAGTTCCAAACAGCCCCATCTCCCTCAGCTGGAAGGAGGGTGGCTTTGAGATATGGTGTGTAAAGCCAGGAAGGGTGGGGACAGTAGCCTGCTGGGGGGGAGGGGGCTGTGTACGAGGGTGCAGGGAGGGAGGTCCTGGAAAGCTGCGCCTTCCAGAGCTGGAGAACCCTGGCGAGGTTACACCATGGGCTCCCAGGACTGGGAAAGGCTTTGCCCCTGGCAATGGCTATATTTCACACTGCTGCTACTAGTAATGTAGCTCCACCAGTGGCAGCACTAAGTTACACAGGGTGCTGGCATTTCTATCACCACATCATCTAACTCTGCCTGGAGCAGGTCCACAGGACACAGTGGGTACAATTCTGGCACCCACCAGTCCCGTGTCTGCCCTTGAATCGCCATTCTGGGGGGGAGCAGGAAATTCTAGACCAATAAACCTAATGTAGCAGCACCTGTGGGGCCACGTTTTCAAAAGAGCGCAGGACTAGATTTCCAAGCTCTGGGCGCCCACCAGTGGAGCTGGATTTTCCAAAGAACTCAGCTCCCATTTAGGCACCTAAATATGGGCCAAGTTCTTGTAAGTGCTCAGCCCCCAGCTGCTGCCCCGTGACGCCAATGGGCAGATTTCCAAAAGAGCTCAGTGTGCAATGTGCCGACCTCGTCTGATTATAGTGCTTAAATGGCAGCTGGGCAATTTTGAAAATCTGGCTGCACGAGTGGGGGCTGAGCCCTTCTGAAAATTCTAGCCCTACCGCGTGCATGTGTACCTGCAGCGGTGTGCTGTGTGTTAGGTGTAGTGAGCTGGGGTGTGTCTGTCTCCCCCTCTGGTGGCGTTTGTTACAGCAGCCTGGTTATAGGCTCTATGTTTGGCAAGCGGAAGCCAGGAAAAGCCTGGATGGAAGATGATGCCCACCCTTGCCAGCAGCTCCCCAGTGCCGCTGGGTTAGCACTGTCTGGAACAGCAGTGCCATGGGGCCAGGAGCCGTCTCAGTCACAGCCCTGCCAAGCCACTTGGAGAGGGGAGTGTCCCTTGGCCTTTCTGGGGGCTGCCTGCCTTTCCTCATTCACTGCTTCCCATCCCACCTCTGCACCTGGAGGGGCTGCAGCACAGACTCACCCGTCTCCTTCCTGGGGTTAGACTAAACCCAATAAGTGCAGGACTGGGAGGTG